CTTACTTCCATCATCTTATCACAAAGCATCTTTATCCTGGTGTCTAACCAATGATTTGTGTTTTATGGGAAATACGAAAAGCAGGGCATTTCAAGCTTAAGCTGCTACTGTGATGCTTATCAGCAAGATACACACACAAATTATATTGTTATACAATTTATTTAGGTATTACAAAATATGTTATAAAGCAGTATATGATCAATTGCTAGAGTAGGGGTTTAAGCAAAAAATGCATTCAATACAGAGATCAATAGGTCAACAGCATAATCGCAATTTCCTAAGGTCACCTTGATTATTCCTGCGGCATTTGGGTCCAGGCCCAGGGCCCGGGCACAGCCCAGCATGCCCGCCCACACTAGCCTGGGCACCCTCAGAACCAGCCACACAGGGACCTCCATCAGTGCCCAGCCCAGCCCGTAGGGCAGGCTGCGAGCCCGGGCAGTGAGCCCTGGCAGTGGGTGGGCCTGCTGGCTGCAGGACCCCTGGGGCCTGCTGGAGCAGCCCTGACAGCCAGTGGTTGAAGAGGATGATCTTAAGGAGCAGAACATTGTAGAGGTGGACCCGGTTCTGGACCAGCTGCAGGAAAAGGGGAGACAACCGTCACCTGTCGTCACTCACTGGGGGCAGGAACCCTACCCGAGTTTTATTGTAGGGGTTGGGGCTGCCAGGTCACCTTGAGCCAGGCCCTCCTCCTCTCGAGCCCTCAGACACCCCACACATAAGAGTGATCTTTATCTGTTCACTTCTAAGGACTCCATTCTCAGGAGTGGAGGTAACGTCTCTTAGAAAGTGTCTCATATTACATGTGGTTTTCTCTCTTATGGATTTGAATAATCCTATATAATAAACGGCTAATATGCAAATAGACTGAACGACAGAATGACGGGTCACTATGATGCACACTGACCACTAGGGGGCAGATGCTCAATGCAGGAGCTGCCCCCTGATGGTCAATAGGCTCCCACAGGGGGAGCGCCACTCAGCCAGAAGCTGGGCTCACGGCTGGCGAGCACAAGCGGCAGTGGTGGGAGCCTCTCCTGCCTCCACGGCAGCGCTAAGGGTGTCTGACTGCAGACTGCGAGAGGGTGCAGGCTGGGCTGCGGGACCCCCAAGTGCATGACTTTCATGCACCAGGCCTCTAGTTATTTATAAAACTCCAGATTGACTGGTGATGATGGTAATGATAATGTCGATGATATAGGAGTGACCATCGCCCTCAGCCCTCTAATCCTGTAGGATTTGAATCCAGGTCAGTTTCTTCTTCCAAGCATCTGGGCTTTTCTACACATCTGTTGCTTCTTGGTGTCATGAGGACAGCTGGTAGCAACGGGCAGTGTCATTAGGGGTAGAGAGGTGTGAGGCATGGGGGACAGGGACAGAATTAATGACTGACCTACTGAGAGGGGTGAAGGAGAGGGAGGGACCTAAGATGATGTCCATATTTCTGTCTGGGTGACAGGGTGGATATGATGTCTCCCATCCATTGGGAGGAAGAGGGGTTGGATGGGGAAAGAGTCTGTAAATGAGAAAGTTTCACTTGAGTCTTGGAGCTGAGAAGCCCTTCCTCAGAGCCCTGAAGACCCCAGCCCCTGAGTACCACCAACCCATCAGTCTGGACCCCGTGTGTCCTTGTCCACAGGACCATCTGGAGCCGGAAGGGACGGGGTGAGAGGCAGCAATCTGGGGTTGGCTGTATGCCCTCCCATATGGGGGGATCGGCAGAGCTGAGGGGATGGAGCTGTGCTGAGAAAGGAAGGGAACACAGGGGTCCAACTAGAGGAGGAATTAGGATGGAGGTAGGAAATGACAGCTGCCCTCACCCCCACCAGCTGATAGTGTTGAAACCAGGGAAGAGAGCAGCCTATTATATGGCCCTATAAGGTCAGTTATAGGCGAGAAAATGGAGGTTCAGAGAAGTAGAATAATTTGCCCAAAGTCACACAGCTAAAGAGTGGAGCAGCCAAGATTCAAATCCAATTGTCTGTCTCTTTCTACTACACATGTCATCTCCCCTTTCTGTGCCACAGCAGCAGGCCCAGGGGACCCTTTTCTGATAACTCAGCCCACAGAGCAGCCAGAATTCAGAGATGTGGCCCCAGCCATCAGCATTTGCATGTCTTAAAACAATGAATGGGGCCTGGCCGACGTGGCTCAGTGGTTAAGCTGAGGTCACAGTTCAATTCCCGGTCAGGGCACATGCCCTGATCGTGGGCTCAGTCCCCAGTGTGGGGCATGCGGGAGGCAGCCAATCAATGATTCTCCCGCATCATTGATGTTTCTCTCTCTCTCCCCCCCTCTCCCTTCCTCTCTGAAATCAATAAATATATATAGAGAGATTTTAAATGGATGGGAAAGGCAATGCTTATCCCACAGGAGTGATTCTCTAGAGAAAAAGTCGTCACTGTGCCTTGGGGTGGGGCTTCTGGGAGCTGTCAGATTATCCCGGAGGCAGGCAGTCGCCTAGCTCCACTGCTCAGGGCGGGTCAGTCACCTGCCTCTCACCAGGACGGGTCCAGCAGCTCCTAGGTAGCTGTGAAGAGCCAGGTGTGTGGTTTCCCCCCCTTTACCCCAGACCCCCACTTACCAGCACTGAGAGCTTCACCACCAGCAGCAGAATCCCCATCAGGCTGGATCCGGAGGGAGGGACAGCCTCCACGTCTGGCCTCCTGCCCCTCCTCCAGCTGGGAGAGGCAGGTGACCTCACAGACACCACAGGGTGGGGGCCAGGTTACCGTGGGGACCCAGTTGCCACAAGAGAATTACCTGCTTCCCTCCCCTTTCACTGCACCAAGACAGGGGTATTTGTCCTGTCCACTTCCTGGTTGTGCCCCTAGGGACATCACCTCCCCAAATCCCCAGCCCCAGCACGCAGGGCCTCAGGGCCTGCAGCAGGCAGCTGGGGCAGTCAGGGCGGACAGAAACAGGCTGCGCCTCCCCACATTCTTCCAACTCCCCAAGTATCCAAGGCTGGGAAATAGAAATCTGTACCCAGGGCCACAGGTGACAGGATGTTGGGAGGCAGAGGGAGTTGAGGATGCTCAGCTGCCCAAACTGGAAGGCCCTACCTAAGCCCCCATGCCCACGCATTCTTGCATTTTACTAAAGGTTGGTCCCCAGTCACAACGCAGAGGGATGAGGTTGTGACCTTTATTCTCGGATCTTAGTGACACCTCAGCGGCGTCACAGAACAGAAAGACTTCTTCTACGGCACTAGCAGAGCCAAACACTAAACACCGAGAACTGCAGGGGAGAAATAGCGGCTATTTGATTATGAATGGAGCCACCCAGGAGAACGGGAAGCTGAACCTCCCGCTGGCACGCAGGTTACTGATAATACAGGGCAGAAATCACAGCCACCTGAGTGAGGGGTGAGGGTGCTGCTGGGAGCTGAGGGGTTAGGCATGAGGGGAGGGTAATAACTCATCTCTCCAGGTCTTGAGGGCAGCTCTAGGCCTTTCCCCGCATCCCTTTGTCTGGTTTCACGCGAAAGTAGCCAGGAGAGCAGGCCACCTAAGGCTGGAACTAAAACATAACGTAGGTCAAAATGTTACCTTTTGCCTGTCAGTGGTCAGAACCCTGTGACCATTCGTTAGGTCCTGCTGCCTCAGGGATTGCTGATTATAGTAGGGAGGGGGGAGAGGGAAGGGAGAGAGAGAGAGAGAGACAGAGAGAGAGAGAGAGAGAGAGAGAGAGAGAGAGAGAGAGAGAGAGGACTTCTAGAGCCAGGGTTTATAACTAGTTTCAGTGGGTTCTGAGACTAGGTACTAGTAGAGGAGAGCAAGGAGGAGAAAACGTGCCTCGCATGTCCTGGAAAGGGACATGTCCTGGGGGAAGAGGGCAGATCTGCTGACCGAGCCCCCTCGGGGCCACAAGAGGCAACAGGCCACAAGCTGAGCTGCCACAAGAATATGGGAGAAATTGCTGGAGCCATTAATGAGAATACTTAGAATTCTGGGAGAATCCGGAACCTGGAGCATAGCTTTCCCACATTGCTTTCCTCAGCAGGTGGCCCCAGGGGCTGGGGCATGAGGCGCTCAGATCTTGTAGAAATTTCTCAAAGCAGCTCTCTGGTGCGCAGGCCACTGCGAGTGCCGGGCTCTGTGGGGAGAGGGCCCCTCCATGCTGGAAGGATGCCAGCCACCGGCCCTTGCACACAGCGTGACTTCAGTCCTCACCATTCCCTTGGCCTGGCACCCTCGTGCAGGGCACCACCTACCCACCTGTCCATGGCAGCCTGCCAGAATGAGTCCCTGGAACGGCAGCGATGACCTTTGTCCAGGGCAGTCCTGTGTACCCACTGGTTTCCTTCCCTGAGCAAGAGCTTCAGCCTGGAAGGTGGAGTATCCAAAGTCCCTCCATTCTGTCCTCTGTCTTTGAACCCCTCCCCCCACCCTCTCTGTCTCCAACACTGCGGCTCTGAGAAGTCATAGGGCTTCAGAAAGGCCTCCATGAGCTAAGTTTTGAAGGATGGGTAGGAGTTTCCCAGAGAAGAGAGTGTGAAGGACGGTCCATGCAGAGGAAACAGCTTGATTTAAACAGTTCAGTGTTACCCGAGCATAAAGTGAGGAGCACAACGTAGGTGGTGAGGTCAGCAGGGGCCACATGGGTCACGGAATCTCTTATTAAGTGACAGGAGCCATGGGAGAGTTGAAGCAGCAAGGCAACTGGGGGTCACTGTGGGCTTTAGAACAGTCCCTCTGGCTGCACGAGGAGGCTAGACTGGGAGGCAGAGGGGTGAGGGGATCCGCTAGGAACCCACAACAATAAACCCTCCAGGCATGAGATGATGGGAGCCTGGACTGGGGCTGTGGCGCTGAGAATGGAAAGAAGTGGACGGAAATGCATGGAAGGTGGAACTGACGAGGATGGAAGCTGTCGAGGATGGTGAAAGGTCCAAGATTGGCCCCTGCTTGCAAACTCACCGGTCAGCCTGCCAGAGACTCCTGGAGGCTAGGAGAAGGCACAAGACTCCGGGGTCAGAGATGAAGGACCATTTATTACAGCACCAGCAGTACACTAGAGTATAAGTGTTTTGCATTGGCTCTTTGAGTCCCAAACCCCGCAGGGTGACGTGATTAGAGCCAGGTGACACCTGTACACCCTGTAGGTTTATTACAGAAGAGAAACCCTGAGCTCCAGGGGCCCAAGTCTTTCATAAAAGGCAGAAATCAAGCCTGCTCCTTGCTCCTGAGACACACATTGTCCTTCTCATGCTGGATCATGCCTGTGCTTCGCTCCAGAAGGAGACATTATATACTAGTATTCCAAGGTTGCTTGATACACAACCATTCTGGAAAAGATCATTCAGAACAAAGAGAAATCAATTCCTTTGCAGAAACACAAGTGACCTATGGAAATTTTGTCTCCCAACCAGAGGACTGAATAGGGAAGAGGGGTAAATAGAGGCAGGGCTCAGGATCCCCCTCAGTGGTGCTGCTGCCCACCGAGGTGGGGTGCGGAGTTGAAGTGAGATTGGGGAAGAGACTGAGAGATTGCTGGGAGTCAGATGGTGAGGACTGAAACTAAGACTTGCAACTCATTTCCCCTCCCCGCTCTTCGCCTCTTCGGCTTCCTCCCCACCATCACCGGCATCACATACCCAAAACTTGTCCCTGAGTTGATGGTCCTCAACCTCATATTGATCAAACTTCCTGGACCACGTGGCCCAGGCAGGAACTGGCGTTGAAGAGACCTCATCCTGCCCCACTGACCTCGGGGGGGGGGCCCTTGGGGTATCTCTCAAGTCCCATTAGGATGCCAGGGCCAAGGCTGCTGCAGAGGAGCCCTCAAACTTGAATTCCTCAGCAAGGAGCCCTCCGCCCCCTTCTCTTTCCTACTCAACACCGAGGTTCAAGGCCACCTGGCACTACGGTGCTGTGTGTCGCCTTGGGCAATACCTGCCCTCCTGGCCCTGACCTCACCTTGCAGGGTAACAGAGAACCAGGTGAGATAACCCAGTTTCCAATGAACATTGCCTTGCACGACGTCAGGGGACACCATTCCCCGGCCCCTGCCCTGAATCCGAGAAGGTTGTCCTCCGCTGCCAGGACCAATGGCGGCGAGAGTAAAGGCAAGAAATCCGCCTCAGAAGCTTCCCAAAAGCTCTCAGGTGCAGGACCACGGCGCGGCCGCACGAGGGCAGCAGATACCAGGGTTGCGGGCCGCACAACTGGGCGCGCAGAGCAAATTGGTGGAAAGTTTTCAGTTGCTTCCTTTGTCCTCTAGCCTGCAAGGACGAAATGTTGTGTTAGCCCTGTAACCACAATGTTGCGGTGTGTCATCTCCAGGAGCTCGCCGGGTGCAGGTCCCGCCCTGCCTGAGTTGCTGGGGATGAGACCAGCAAGAAATGATCAGGACATACGTTTCCCCCTTCTCTCATGTTCTAATGTTAAAAACTCACTTTATTGCCCTAACCCAGTGGTCGGCAAACTGCGGCTCCCGAGCCACATGCAGCTCTTTGGCCCCTTGAGTTGTAATGTACCCCGCAAATCATAGAAGGACGCCTCAAGAAGTCAAATTAAAGAGTCACATTCATTGCAATCCGGGACTATGAGGGGCCATTCCCCAAATCTCATAGTAATAAGATGGTCGCAAAACCAGACTTATATAGGCAAAGATCACAAAGGTATTGATTACATCCCAAGGTTTGGAATGAGGAACCTGGTTTGCAAAAAAAGCAGTTTATAGAAGCAGAAGCAGCATGTTATCTAAATTACAGTTTTGGGTCTCCGGATCACTGAATTGACAGAAAACATTATCTAGAGCCCTCGGGTCTGGAATGAGGAACCTGGTCAGACTTAAGCATGTTATCTAAATTACAGTTTTTGGGTCTCCGGAACACTGAGTCAACAGGGACACGTTAACTGGAGCCCTCTGACCTTGGGATAACTGTGCTGTCCTTCCCAGGTAAAGGAAAATGTGCTTTCTAAGACCAGTATGACCACAACCAATGGGATTTCACATTACAATCAATAGGGTATTTGGGATGATTTATATAATTCAGAAAATGGGATGATTTATGTAATTCAGAAAATCAAAATAACTTTTCTATTGTTAAACAAAGCAAATAAGTACAGAAGCCAAACAGCAGGGTTAAAGTTAAACTATAGTTTCTACCTGAGATGATTGCTACCATCCTTCAGAGTGTGGCTCTTCCACAAAATACCGACTTCTGCGCATGGGCCACGAAGTTTCAATCACACTGTACATGCGCGCCCGCACGTGGCATTTTGTGGAAGAGCCACACTCAAGGGGCCAAAGAGCCGCATGTGGCTCGCGAGCCGCAGTTTGCTGACCTTGGGGTGATGATGGATAGAGCGTCATTCTGCGGACTCAAGGGTCCTGGGTTTGATTCCCGTCAAGGGCATGTACCTTGGTTGCAGGCACATACCCAGTGGGGAGTGTGCAGGAGGCAGCTGATCGATGTTTCTAACTCTCTATCCCTCTCCCTTCCTCTCTGTGAGAAATCAATAAAATATATTTTTTTTAAAAATTCACTTTATTTCAAATATTCATCCCCCCCACCCCACCCCCGGAAGTATGCAAAAATGATAAACATGCCTTCATACTTCTTGGAACTTGTATTTATTCTTTCTCAAAATGATTTTTATCAAAACCACTTGAAATGCAAGAATAATGATTAAAAGCTTGTGAAAGCATGAGGGACCCGTCTTGTTAAGGGGACAGAAGGGTTTGAACTGACCTCTGTGGCTTAATTATAAGTCTATGCTCCAGGCCTTAGGTTCCTTATCTGTGAAACTGGGATATACATTGCAGAACCTGCCAGGTGAAGTTGTAGGGAGGAGTCAGTGAAATAATAGGGTCTGTGAGTGCTTTGGGCAGTACCTGGCCCCACAGCAATGCTTGGGGCTGGTGGGTAATGAAGTCACCATTGGTGAATGATAAGAAGCTCAAGATTTTTTAAAGCAAAATAAGCTGCAAGTTGGACAAAACTACTTTAAAATATATGCAAATTTGTATTTTATTATTATTATTGATCTCAGAGAGGAAGGGATTGGGAGAGATAAACATCAATGATGAGAGAATCACTGATCGGTTGCATCCCGCATACCCCCACCAGGTGCATAAATTTTATTAATTTATAAGCCAATATGTGGAAATATTCATTTCAAACTGTTTTCAGGCAATTCATTTGGAGCCTGAAATTCACTCGATTTTAAATACCCCCCCCAAAAAAAACTGCCAAATATGAACAAAGGTCATTGCTGTTGTAAAATTTATTATAAAATTTTTAACAAAAAAAAAAAATGAATGAAATGCTTTAAAAGTGGGGGTTTTTTTGGTGCCAAAACCCGGGAGAAGAGCTTTTTTTAAAATGATATAAAGTTGCCAAACTACTCTATTGTTCAAAAACATTATTCACCCCCCAAATAAAGGTTCATATAAAGGTACAAAACACATGAGACAGAAGTAAAGTCACACCTGCGAGGTACGGAAATCAACATGAAAAATAGCAAGGATACATACATTTTTCCCCATTCATTTATTGATCAGTTTGTTCAGAACCAATGTGTTTAGCGCGCTTGTGTTCTGCCTGTTCACCTAGACTTCTCTCTGGGATATTCTCCCACCCACCAGCTACCCATCTTCAACCACAAGCTCTCCTTCTTTCTCTGTCTGCTCTTTTACCTACAGGCCTCTTCCGTTGTGAAGACAATGTTTCTCTCCCGACCTATGTGGCTCAGTGGTTGAGCTTCGACCTATGAACCGGGAGGTCATGGTTAGAGTCCCAGTCAGGGCACGTGCCAGGGTTGCAGCTGGGTCCCCAGTGTGGGGCATGCAGGAGGCAGCCAATCAACGACTCTCTCATCATTGGTGTCTCTATCTCTTTCTCCTTCTCCCTTCCTCTCTAAAATCAATAAAAAAATATTTTTAAAAAAAGAAAAAAAATGTTTCTCCATCCATCCAAGGACATTTAGGTTGTTTTATATCTTGGCTATTGTAAAAAATGCTGTAATGAAAAATAAATGCATCGGGCTATATCAAAATAAAAGGTTCTGCTCAGCAAAGAAACTGCCAACAAAGCAAACGGCAACCAACCAAATGGGAGAAGATATTAAAAACAACAGCTCCAACAAGGGGTTAATATTCGAAACATATAAAGAACTCATACAACTCAACACCAAACAAACAAAAATCCAACTAAAAAATGGGCAGAAGCCCTGGCCGGTGTGGCTCAGTAGACTGGGTGTCATCTCTTGCGCTGAA